GTCTGTCCGTTCGTCCACCTATTCAACACTCCAAGTACCACCATCTCGCATTTTTTCATCACAAATTCCTCATATTGAAGCACCACTATCCAGCGGACATTCCAAGGACTGAACGAGAGGAGGCCCACGCACACTGTCTTACGGCTTGCGGTTCGGGTCTACTTCCCACCTTTATCCACCTCGAGTTCATGGTATATACTAGTTAATTGTATTCATGGCACTGCGGTCCAACGCTCGCTAAACCTTTCTAAATTCAAGGAGGTTACGCCCAGCGAGTATAGCGTAGCAACCCTTTTTTGTGAGATAGGGCTTAATGTACATGCCAATGGCTGCTAAGGGGGAATGAGAGACAGGAGAATTCGGCTTTTAGTTAACACGCACGCGGCGAATTTTTAGGGGCGAAGTGCTTTAAAGCGGCACCCGTTCATCCCTCGTAGTCGTAGTCGTAGTGTGTAACAAGTGTTACATTTTGACATGCAAGGTGGTGCCGGTGGGAGATTTCTCCTGTGCTTTGTTGAACAATAAAAAAGTTCGCGGCGTGCGCGAACTGGCAAATACCTGTGCATCCGAAGGACAAAGCAAAGACGGCTTTTGTTATCCCGGACGGACTATATGAGTTCAATGTGATGCCCTTTGGTCTATGTAATGCTCCCGCTACATTTGAAAGGTTCATGGACACCATTCTTCATGGCCTAAAATGAAGCATCTTTATGTGTTATCTTGACGACATTGTGAGTTTCGGGCGCACATTCAGTGAGCACAACGAATGGGTAGAGATTGTCCTGGAGTGTATTCGAAATGCTGGCCTGGTCCTTAATGCGAAGATGTGTCGTTTTGGCGTGCGACAAACTTTGGTGATTAGACACCTCGTCAACAAGGATGGCATCAGGCCCGACCCAAATAAGACAGAGGCTGTTATAGCTTTTAAATCACCTTGCTCAACAAACAATCTTCGGAGCTTCTTGGGCCTCTGCTCTTATTTTCACGGATATATTCCCGCATTTGCCGAAGTTGCCTTTCTCCTGACTTGCCTTCTCCGCCAAGGTGCTAGTGTTGAATGAACTGCCGATTGCGAATTTTTCTTCAAGCAACTGAAGTTCTTGCTGACGTCACAGTACTTCGGTACTTCCATCTGCGGAAACTGAATTTTACACCGACGCAAGCGGCATCGGCATAGGTTCAATCCTGGTGCAACGATATAATCAAAAGGAACACGTGATCGCATATACCACTTGGACATTAAGCATGGCGGAACGCAGTTACACTGTGACCGAGAAAGAATGTTTCGCGCTCGTCTTCGCCGAGCAGCGATTCCGCTCATACCTGTATGGTCGTCCTTTTCAAGTAGTTTCAGATGACCATTCCTTGTGCTGGCTTGTCAACTTTTGGGAACCGTTAGGCCATCCTGCACGGTGGGCTCTCCGGTTGCAAGAATACGACTTTACGGTACTGTACAAGAGCGGCAGCAAATACGCTGACGCAGACTCACGAAGACTGACTTTCGAGAATGACACTCGATACGACAGTTTGCGACGCTGACAATATCTAACATCTCATTGCGTCCGTGGCATCAACGTTTCCAGATAAAGACATTTTCGAAATTGAGCAGTTGAAGGACGTGAGCTTGAATCCGTTATTCGTCCTTGCACGAGCATTCACTCCAGAAGGCCGGTTTCGCACTCGTGATGGCTTACTGTACAAGCAAACCATGGCCGGCACTGTAGCCCGTTTTTTGCTGGTGGTTCCAGAGGCACTACGTTCATCTGTGTTGCGCGCCATGCGTGACGACGCCACTTCAGGACATTTGGGAACAACGCACACTCTTGATCGTACACAGGAACGCTTTTACTGGCCGCGCCTGCGCCAGTTGGTTGAGTTGTACGTGGCCAGGTGTGCCCAATACCACACGCATAAATCTCTCTCAGCAGCTCCAGCCGGACATCTACAGCCTCTGACGCCTCCCATTTCTCTGCTTGATCAAATTGGCATTGACTTGATGGGCCCATCTCAGCTCTCATCGAAAGGTAGCAGACGAATTGGAGTATGTGCTGACCATCTTACTCGGTACTGCGAAACGACAGCCCTGCCATCCGTGACTGCTGGTCAAGTGTCGTCCTTCCTTCTTTGTTTCGTCATGCTGCTCAATGTACCTCCCCTTGTCATCATAAGTGACCGTGGACGTTTATTTACAGCGGACGTTGTCGAGCAACTTGTCCCTGCGTGTGGATCACCCGGAGACCAATGGCCTTACCGAGTGAACAATTGGAACACTGGTGAACGTGCTTTTTATGTACGTTGCTTTAAATCACAAGAACTGGGATGACGTCTAACCATTCGTCACGTACGGCTTCAATACTGCCCAACATGAGACCACCGGCTACAGCCCGTTCTTTCTCTTCAATGCTCGACCCCCCACTTTATACTCTGGATATTTTCTTTTTCTGATTTTAACGCTACGGCTCTAACAGAAACTTTTTGTCTCGCCGAAGATGCTCGCTGCCTTGCCCGTTTACGCACAAAAGCCTCGCAAGACAGATCGAAACTCCGTTATGACAGCAAGCACCGACAAGTCCCGTATAATCCTGGAGACCTCGTGTTGGTATGGAAAGCTTTGCGCAAGCGTGGTTTGTGCCAAAAACTGCTTGCCCACTACACGGGACCATTCGTTCTTTTCAACCACCTGAGCACCGTCGACTACCACATCGCACGCGTCACAGCTAGTGGGAGACGCTCTCGCTAGACAGAAGTCACGCATGTGGCTCACCTGAAACCTTCAGTCAGCGAGACGTTGCATGAAACGCGCGGCACGCTTCGTCTGTGAGGGGGGAAATGTTACGTGGCATATGCGCCGCTTAGAAAAAGGAGGAAGGAGTGAAGGGAACGAACGAGGAAGAATATCTCTCTTGCATTCTGGTCCTGTACAACTCGTCATCTAAACCATGTACCAAGAAACCCCAAACGCCTACTTGAGGACTTAACAATATATTAAGCTGATGGTTACTGAGAGGTTGTTAGAAAAACCAACTCCTAATGGGTCACTACCTTAGAGTACCAAATAGAGTGGTTAGTCGAAGACCCCATCGGACGTGGTCGCTGAGCTTGCACACCGCACCGTGGCTTGTCTGACTGGAATGTCCTGGCAGCGAAGCAGGACCACCTCCCAGTCTTCTCAGGTTAGGTTGGGGTTCAAGGGAAAGAAGGATTGAGCTGGCATGCCCAGAAGTGCGGCCTTCGCCTTTCATGCAAATGAAGAAAAAATAAATTTCAGAGCGCTACTCTATGCGGAGCGTCTAACCTACGCAGCGTGAGTGGAGGGACATTCCAGAATAAAAGCGATGGTGATGTGTCACTCCGTGTACCTGGTCTACACGCGAGCGGATTTATGCTATCTTCTTGTGCATTTCTCTACAACGTCCCGTTAAGTAAAGCAGAAGACTTTGCATTCGTTATTTTAAAACCAAGTGCACGCTGCACGTTATCAATTCCTTGGGGCACACCCACTGCCGATCTTTAAACGCGGAATTGGCCGCCATTATAGTGAAGGTATATACTGAATATTTATAAACAATACCTAATATAGTAATAGCCACTGCGCAACCGAGTCGGTTTTGGCGGTTCGGTAACTTTAACGGAAGCTTGTACGCATTGGACTCTGAAAGGCAGGACTGGAACTTGCTAAAGCGAGCCTTGGCAGATGCTGCAGATTTTAAAGGTTGTTCGAACTGCGGATCTTCTTGCTTCAGTACGGATACCCGTATATTGTTGACGGAAACGATGTTTACCAAATGGTGGAAAGTTGCGGGTCGACTGAATTCATGGTAATGCACCGTTCCATTCTTTTGAAAATTGCAACGGCACTTGTTTGCTTGGACATACCCCAAGTTAACCGAGTGAAACGACAGGGTGACTTCGCTGGTTCCGTGGTTGACAAGTGGGCTGACCAGCTACATCTTGACCAAAATTCTCTAACTGTTCAGTACCCATTAGTGAGACATGTTCGCCTTTAACTGTGGCAACAGTCCCCTTTCGAGTTAATTTAGATAGTAGGCTAATGGACGTGTTTTCCTCCTACTAAGTTTTGTTCGTTGCTCCCACTCGCCTGCTTTGTGACACCCCATCGCTTCATATTATTTCTCTTGCTTCGCTTTGCCACTACATGGCATTGACTTGCGCGCACACACTTTAAGGACGCTATTCGTTGAGCCCGGTGGCACACTTGTCATCACCCCGCTAAAAAGGGGACGCTCATAACATCCATCCATCCATCCATCCATCCATCCATCCATCCATCCATCCATCCATCCATCCATCCATCCATCCATCCATCCATCCATCCATCCATCTATCCATCCATCCATCCATCCATCCGTCCATCCGTCCGTCCGTCCGTCCGTCCATTCATCCACCCATCCATTCATCCATCCACCCATCCACCCACCCGCCCACCCATCCACCCACCCACACACCCATCCATCCATCCATGCATCCATGCGTCCGTCCGTCCGTCCGTCCGTCCGTCCATCCATCCGTCCATCCATCCATCCATCCATCCATCCATCCATCCATCCATCCATCCATCCATCCATCCATCCATCCATCCATCCATCCATCCATCCATCCGCACTTCTAAGCCGAGATTTCAGAAGTAGGACCTGTGCACATGCGAGTAAAAATACACACGCGGTACGACGTCTTTACAGAAATAAGCCATTTTTACAAGCTTAAACGTGTATTTTGCAAACCTAATGCAATTAGTTAGAAGATATACTGACTGCATCTTTTATTTATGCATTCACAGTAAAGTGTGTCCATTTTATTGTGAAGATTGTTTGTGCTCATAAGATTCTTCCTGCTCTCAATGTCACTCGTTCTTGAGAGTAAAGTGGATGCTAATTTACCTAAAGACGTGATAAACATTGTGATTTTTGGTAGCGTACATAAATTAAACTGTTTAAATATCTGGAAGGTCAATATAGGTCTTACTTTATGCATTTCTGCAGACGTGGCCTCAAGGTTGAGCCGGAGAACGGGCCTGGTGCCTGCGAATGTGACTACATCTATTGAAGCCATGCAGCGAAGCAGTTGGCTCTTCACGATGGAGAACGGACGAGCTGGCCTGGCGAATTTTTTCCCGATGAAATGCCGAGAAAAAGATCACCCAATAGCACCTTTTTCGTCTATATTTTTTTAGTCCCAGTATGCTAGGTTGCTGTTGGGGGCAACGTTCTGATCACAAGCTTAGGATGCCACAAGTTTTGTAACGTACAAAACGCAATAATACAATTATTATTTTCTAAATAAACTTTCACTCTCTGAATTTTTCTGATTTAGTTATTAAAGCAAAGGAGCACAGAGGACGCCCCTGCCTGTAATGAGTCTGATATTTCCGTCCCTAAATGTCACGGCTTTGATGCGCTGTGTCGTGTCAGTGCTCTGTCATAAAAACTGTGTAAAAATTGGAGGACACTTGAGCTACGCCTGCAAGAGCAAATCGTGATAGCATAATTGGGCCTCTTGTGCATCGCCTTCAGAAATTTTAGCCTACCTGGGTTCTCAGTGCACGTGTCGGCCATGCCGTAAAAAAACGAGGGAATGCGAGCGGAACATTGGCAGGCATGGAGACAGAAATGTTTTTCGGCAAGTGGTAGAGCACCAAGTTGATCTCAAGTGGGGACTGGGCAGGAAGATGTGGTCGGGTGTCACTTTGCGCTGTCTGTGTCGTGGCAAGAGAATTAGGGGAAGGCGTTGCGGGGGGGGGGGGGGGGGGGCACGCGTTTGGGTTGCCAACGCCTGGCTACTCAACACTGGTTGTTTAGAAGTATTGTTGAACGCCTGCTACAAAAACAACTTGTTTAGCGTCCACTACGCCCTAATTACTCCTTTTACGAATATGCGAAAGGCCCACTACGCGTCCGTATGGCAACATCTACGCCACTTTTCACTTTGATGACGGTTATCTGCTGATGAAGATCAAATATACCTGGGTGCGGGGTAATGGGTTGACTTTTAAAACAACCAATCGTTTCTCATTGCACTTGTTTTGACGCCGGGCAATATATGATGCAATATCCTATGCAATATATGATGCGTCAAGAAGACTCCTGCCACATACGGTATTATTATAGTGTTGATTTCAAGGGCAGATTCAATCAATATTGTGGCTCCGTGACAGAAGGTTGTCTGGTTGTCACTCAGACAACCTTCATTCCATCGCCACAGAAACGAGAAATCCTTTATTGGTTATTTATTTTAGTGGCATGTTTCTCGATCTTTCGATCAAGGACAAGACGTATTTCGCTCAGAACCATTGGCGCCTATGCTAATGTCACAGAACGAGCGCTCAAAAAGGGCGCGCCGCCAAATTCTCGCGACGAACCGCCGGAGTGACGCTACGAGGTCAACGAAAAAGAAAGAAAAGAAAACAAACATCTAAAGGCTCCCCAGGTGCGCGAGCCTCTCCCCTCGGAAGCGTGGCTTCGCCGATGAACCTCCTCACCCCACAGCGGCGGCCGGGCAAGCACTGGAAAGTTCTAGAAGGAAAGGGGCGTGTTCTGCCGGGTTGAGTCACCGGTCGGGGACGGCCCTCGTACAGTCTCGCGCCTCTCCCCAGCCTTCGCTGCGTATCGCGCCGACGAAATGACGAGAACCTTCTGGAACCTCGCGCAGAAGGTATTTAATCGAGCAGCCGAGACGAGAGAGCAGGAGAAGACGGAAGTTAGCGCCAGAGCGCGTAGGGTATCCCGCCGTGTAGTTGGCGAAGGTTTTGTCCGTAGGGACAAAGCAGGAGAAGACGGAAGTTAGCGCCAGAGCGCGTAGGGATTCCGCCTTGTAGTCGGCGAAGGTTTTGTCCGTAGGGACAAAGCAGGAGAAGAAGAGGATTTCCACCTGAGGGGTGAAGGCTCGAGCTACAGGCAAGAGCGTGTGTCTACCGCTATCGAGCGAAGACGCGTGGCAACAGCTGCGTGTGTGAAGCCGACGTGTTTCCGGCGAAGAAGTTGAAGCTTGGAGAGTGGCCAATTGAAGGCGCGAGGTTTTCTGGAAGAGAAACTTCGGCGAGGTTTCCTGGAAGAGAAACTTCAGGGGGCAGCGGAACGACAACAACGCTGGACTTTGAGTGAGTGATTCTCTGAAGAGTATCATTCAGACTTTTGTTCCAAGTTCTTTGGACTGAATAGGTTTTCTATCTCTTTAGTCTTCAAGTGTCTTGGTTGTTAAATGCATGCGACTGCATTGTAGTGTGTATTGTTGTCTGTGTCCATTGTTTTGAGTGTGGCTGATTGTACTGTGTGGTACGTTGGTTGATTGGTGACATATTGTACTCAACTATTGTGAAGTGTGTATACTCGTGTATTGTTTTCGATCTGCCATTATTGAGAATATAATTTTGTTTGTTTATCAACTCTCGGCTCTGACTTGTTCTTTGGGCCACAGTCGGCGTCTGCTGGCGCGCCAATAAGGACCACTTCTAAATTGTCCACGCTTTCGTGGTGCGGTTCGGGGGGCCGATACTTCGGCTCTTGGAATTAGCCCGGCGATCGCCTCCCTAATTACCGGGACCTGTGTGACAGCTAACATCGACAGCAGAATTTCAGAGCAATGAGCTTTTTAACACCATTGCGTTAAAAGAAGGCGCAGTTGTGTAAATACAGCCTTGTCATTTATTTTAACAACAAATCGGATCATACCATAAATTTTAAAGCTGCACTGGGTTCTTCATGTGTGTTTGTCATAAATGCAAGCTGTACTGGTTTTAAAATTTGATACAATTTTGTGATTATCAAAGAGACCACTTTGCCTGCGCGGAACATGCCGCACAGTCACAGTGAAAGCTAGAAGAGCGACTTTTCAGAGCTTTTTCTAAACACTCTTTGGGTAACTGCCGCAAGCACACTTTCTGGGTACCCACTATGCCATAAATATTCATAATTTTTGTGTAGTACGCCGGCATTCGCTATGCTATCCTTCGTCACTCTTCAGAGAAGCAAGTATCCACTACGCTCTTGCAAGAAATATTGCGCAATCTTTTGTTGGAGTGACTGACGCCGATGAACAATAATACCTGAAGTGTGTATGTGCCACAGTTAAGAGGGGATCAAGAACTAGATTACGGGATGGAGCATCGGACGACCTACTCGCTATGTAATTCGCATTGTGTGACACCTGGTCGTTGCTTTGCTGTTGTAAAACGCTTTATCATTCATACTAAAGCGCGAGACAGACGGTGTATTTTTTCATGCGATGCGGCGTGCGGCGCCGAATCCGCCGGCACAGTATGCGGCGTTTTGGGACATATGGGGACGAGCGAGCTATCAGCGGCAGTCGCCTCGGCATGCACGTTCGAAATACTTGGTATCATCGTAATGAAGCTCAAAGAAACAACGTTGCACAGGAACGCTTCGTTATAAAATAAAGAATAAAACGCTTTCGTGAGTAACAAGCACGTCACAAAAGCAGCAACAGCTGATTATTCACGACTCCGACTGATATAGGCTTTGCACGGAGGGCACCGGCCATCGCCTACGTCGTTCACACGCTAGCTCGCCTACGCCGTTCACACGTTTGCATACGCTATCGCTTTTTAGATGTCATTCATGTGGAGAGCAAGGTGGAACCAAAACAAGCCGGCTCACAGAGACACCTGTGTCGCCTTGTTTACCTGCAAAATGGCCTAGTATTGCTGCCCACGGTCTCGCTAATGGTTTCAAAATGGGCGTTATCTTCCAGAAATGGCCCACTTCAAACGTCACTTTATTCAATCTGGAATAGTATTACGTCACAAGAGAATGTACTCAATCTTTGTCACGCTGCCATAAGCGGAGATGTCAGTAAATCCAGGCTCGCTCTACTCTATATCGAATCGCCTAGACTGGCCTGTACCATGACCTCCGATATGGCGGGCGCGCGGTGGGTTTCTCTCCGGCCATCCCCATCGCACGAAGAGAGCGTGTTTCCCATGGAGGATGAAAATATACGAGAGGGTATGCCCAGCCAGCACGCTACGTGAAAAGTGCGGAGGAAATGACATCATGGTGGCCATATTCACTGGGCACAATGGCGGCGTTGCTATGGTTACGTGTTGCGCAGTGTAGCTGGTCTAGCAGTCAGCGGCCGCCGCTGGCGACGGCATGTGTGCCTCCGCAGGTCTCGTGCTGAGCCGTGGCGGACAATCTCCGTGCTCTGCGCCACGTTATTGGTTACGCAGTGTTTTCCTGGTAATTACTATACTCTTAGCAACGTTTACAAAAGCGTTAGTCCACCATTAATCCTGAAAAGTGCGCAGAACGAGCGCATATACATGCGTCGTGTGGCGGATGACGCAGATGAAGCATTTGAAGTGTTCAGCGAAATTGCGTTGGGCACCATGACGAAGCGGAACGACGACGGACGCCTTGCAGGAAGATGACGGATGGGCAGTGCTCCTGCTTGTGGCAATGGATGAAACCGTTGTGCCCAGCAAGACGCAATGAGGACCATGTGCACATAAGTAGTTTCATGTTCGGTATGTGTACAATAACAACTTCCATGTGTGTAATAAAACACCGTTTCTGTTCCGCTTGTTATACTCGCAACCAGAATTGTAATCTCAACGTTAGTGAAACCTCTTTCAAGTGTCACTTGCACCGTGCTCATAGTCAACAGGGTTGCAGAATGCTGACGCCGGTGGGTTTCACGCAGAACACGGGCACAATGGCCAGGCGCTGCGTCAGCCTCGTGTCGGAATGCAACTGTAGAAGAAGGCGCACGACTGATCATGTTGTCTGTACAGTAGCTGAATTAATGACGTGAAAACACCCGCCGTTGTCAGTGCATCTAGAACGCGTTCTCTTGTACTTGCTTCGTTGTCGGCGAGCCTTTATTCGCTGTTATATTCGGACGAAATGATTTGGCTGAAAGTGTCACGCTGGCCCAGAGTGTTGAGCCCCGTTCCATTAGTTTCGGATCGTCACGACACGCACTGCTGCGCAGCCTACATGCTTTCCGAGCCAGAGAGAGAGGCGCGCCTTCTGCTTTACATTGGGATGTAAACAATAGATGAGAATTTGTCTAGTCAATATGGCCAACTTCCGGCTTCACCACGGCTTCCCAACGAGTGACGTCAAAGTCTCTCCTAAGTTTTTTTCTTCCTCCATGGTGTTTCCAGACGTGGGCGTGACCCGGTATTTTCTCCGCACCGCGGCGCTCCTTTGTGTGGTCGAAAATGCTGCCACGCGTTTGGCGACACTTGCATGGGGCGAGAAAAAAATGGTTTTGCGTATTATATAACTTCGCGCTCATATGGGAACGTCTGGTCAAGGTGTACGAGGGGCAAAGTCAATGC